AGTGGGATTAAGTTCTGGAGCAGATGTCAGTATGTCAGCAATAATGTTTGCTCAAAGTTTATATCTGATATGCTGAACTTTTCATTAGCTTCATATTCTATGCTCATTCAGTCATGTTGCATGGACATTGAGTTCAATGTCATGAATATTGTGGCAAGTAAAGTATAATCTAGCTAGGTTCAACTTTGAAATTTGGGTTTAGGCTGTTTCAAAAATCTATTGATTATATCGATGCATTGCATTCTCAGTTAATATAGAAAGAATTTTGAATTCGAGTCCCACAAGTTTTAATGAACAATCTTGATGAAATGAATGAAGTGTGCATGATTAATGACATTTAGTATTGCCTCTTATATAATTTCATAGTTAGAAGGAAGTTACTTTAGATCGAGGTTCGAAATTGCGTATTATGTACTTGAGGCGGTTTCTTACCATTGCCTATTGTGTAAGCCTCATTCTGCAATGAGGCGTAAGAACTAAGCCTCAACTTTTACACAAATTTATATAAAAAAGTACAAATAATGTAATTAAGCATAAAATTAAAGAATATTTACATAAACCCATCCAAAAAGTATATTCAAACTTCAAAAATCACGCAAAATAACTTTTCTCTAATTTATTAAAGTTTTATATGTGTAGAACTACTAGAAGTTTAACTTAACATGCTGGGTCTGGTTTATTTGCCAGTAAACGTTCACAACAGCATTATACCTAAGAAAGAAGAAAGTAAAGTATTTAATATTCATCCACTATATTTTCAATCATTTTAAGGAGTAGTGGGGAATGGGAGTACTGATTATTCTGCCCACTGAGTCACTAAATCCTATATGAATAGATAAATATAAATAAGATAATTAGACAAACACATACCTCTGTTAGCGTGAAGAAAAGAAGGGAGAAAGGACAAGAAGGCCATAAAATGTAAACATGCAGAAGAAGCAGCCGCAGATTACAAACATTTAGGTCTATATATATTTTGCAGAAGTTGATACACAAACTTATATACTACGTGTCCTATGGTATGTATTTTTTTTTAAAATAAAATTAGTTTGATGGCTTTGGGCTGCAAAAGCCGGCTCTGAGCCCTGCTATATGTTGCACGCCTCAAAACGATCTATATAGCTTATGCCCTGTTTAAAAAACCGCACCCATACATATTGTCAAAATTGGGATTATCATTCCAGCGGAAAATCTCAAAAAGTAGCTAGGCGTGCCTTATTGTGGTAAGGCATTGCACACTTTTAAACATTGCCTTAGATCTTGCACAACGCAGATGGTCTGTGGGAGAAGGTACATTTTGGACCCTAATGTTATGCTGGAGGGTCAGATTTGGCTTGGAGCTTTTTTTTGTGCTTTTATAGCTTAGCATTGAGGGCATAGACCCATTGGACCCTAACATTAAGGTGAGGTATCAATTTTGTTAATTAATACGGAGTACAAATTTATTCATTAGCAAAGTGGGTCCTAATTTAATGAATGATTACTCCACTATGTATGCGACCATCCATAAAAAGCCAATTAATCCGGATAATGGGCTCAAGTTTTGCCGATCAAACCATATCAGTTATGTGTATACAATATCTAAAGGAGAAGAATATTCATTACATTTATATAATGATGTTCCAGCTACGTGGTATATTAACTAATGATGGTATCTGTTATTAAAATTGCGGCCTTCCTAGTTCCCCGTAAGCATTAGACCATATTTAGATGCTTTAGTTTTCTCTCACAACTAATAGAATCAATTTTTACTCTGGTTGCTTGTGTTTGTGCCCTTTTTTGTGTGTATTTATTCAAATTTGTATGATGTTTCTGGTGAAATACTGAAATGGTGGTTGTTGATTTTTTATAAGTTACTATTTTAGATTGTGTGTAGCTTTCTTCAATACATTTTTAGTTTGCGTCTCTGATGTTCTAGTAGCTTTTGTACGGTGATTTCTGTGAAAGTTATGTTATTGTCAATTGCTTGGTCATTTTTCAGCTCTCTATCATGTTTCCTCCCCAATGAGCATTTCATTTTATTTTCAGATGATCCTGATGTAACTCATGTCCACCATCGCAATTTTTTGAAACAGAATGTGGTTTTTAAGGAGGTACAGATTTGTTATCATTCTATCAATGATGGTATATAGAAATGTTTGTTTTAAAGAAACTGTGTAGTTCGGTAGTTGTCAATTTAGTTTTGTTCCTTCTTTGCTCATTTTTTATCTCCTTGAGGTGGCATATTTAGGCTGTACCTATTAAAGACCCAGTATTGCTGTCAAAGATACATCAAACATACAGAGTTGGCTATATGAAGGTACCTATAAACAAATTTAGGCTTCATCTCCGGTTTGTTGTGAATTGTGAATTATGCTTTGATCTCATTTTCCTGCTCCAGGATGTCATTTTGCCTCGAGCATTAGATGATGCTACTGCTACTACGCTTGCTAACGTAATACATTCGAATAATGCATTTGTAAGTATTTCTATTTGAGAAAGCTTTATGTTTTCAAGTTATGAGAGAGTGTCTAACTCTATTATGTTATAGGTTATATCTGTCCTGAAAGACGACAACACATTCATTCACGAACTATTTGCAAAGCTAAAATCTTCAACAGTTTCGGGCGAGTCAAAGAAAAATTTGGTAATGATGATGCTTTAGCACAACCACATTATGGGTTATTTCATGATGTGATGCAATTTTCATTTAAATATGTATCTCAGTCTCTTTCAGTATCTGTATAGTCATATGCTTTTTCATGATCTATGTGATAATAGGTACGTTTCTTGCATGAGTTCTGTACTTCAAGTAAAAGCCTGCAGATGGTCCAGCAGCTTCGACTCTTCAAGTATATACCATTTTGATGTTTTATGTTAACTTGTATATATTTATTTGCATGTACATACTTCTTGGTGAGCACACTTTTTTTATGAATGGTATCATTATTGACATTTAAATGTAGGGATCTTGTCAATGAAGGCATCTTTGATATTGTCAGTGATGTGTTGCAGAGTCAAGACAAAAAACTAATATTAACAGGGTAATATATACTCACTGTTTAAGCATTGCGTTATTTTCCGCATGAGTTTCTAGCCCTATATATCTTTCTCATTGTGGTTCTTGATGAATGCAGGACAGACATTCTCATTCTTTTCATGAATCAGGACCCAAACCTTTTGCGCTCTTATGTAACTCGTCCGGAAGGCCTTTCCTTGTTTGGGCTTTTGGTGAGTTTCTTTCAAATTTAAGTTTTCCTGTAATTTTTTAATCTATGAAGCTCCAATTCGTATTATTTTTATAGTATAATAATATAATACATTAGTATACTCTGCTCTGAAAATTTTAGTCTAGGTGGTATGCATCCCATGCGTTTTCTTTTCGTAAACGATTCTACACAATAGTAATCATAATTGTACCATCCAGGTCTCACATAGACGTTGGGCCTCAATTTACTGCCTGACTAGTATCTAGTGCTTTTTAGAAGATTGCACAATAATATACTAGTATTTCTATTATTCTGCCTGCTACTAAGCAATTTAAGCAAAGTATACAAATTAAATTATATTAGTAATGATATGAACATCATAAATGCAAATTATAGATAGCATTATCTAATTTCATGTTACCAACTGTATTATATATTTATATGTACTTTTATAAAATTAAATTTCTATGCAAAATACTCCCTCCGTCCCATAGAAGGGTTCTCACTTTCCTTTTGGACGTCCCATAGAAAGGTTCCATTTCTATTTTAGGAAACAATTAACAATCTTAAATGACAAATTAATCATTAAACATTAAAAATAATACATTTATAACATCACAATTATCAACAATAGCCCATTATATTATATACCTATTAAAATTATTTCTCAAAATATACTCGAACTACCTTATTTTATTATCTAAATAACCGTGTCGTTTTGCCATGGGAATCTTTCAACGGTATGTAGGTAGTACAACATACCAAGAATTTAATATTATAATATTAATTACATATGCTTTTTTAGAATTAAATTTCTATGAAAAGTAAAACTTTTGCAACTTTACCAAGAGCCTTGAAAACCTTAAAGATTCATATTAATTAAAATAATTAACAAATACTGAGTACTTAGTATTTTAATTATGTAATGATACCATGAGGGAGTTGCGGAAGCTGTGACACAAGTCAGATACGAGGATATTGGCGGACTGCCAGTCGCTTACAACTTACAAGCGATAAGATGTAAGAATGTAAGATAAATAAATGTAACCTTACTTGGACTCTTGTAGAGGACAAGCAGAAAGACGAGAGGGAGAGCCGGCGAGGCAATAAATGATAGGGAGATAATTGAATCAGAAGATAAGATTAGTTTTATCAATTGTTACATCAATTGTAGGCCCAATTATTGCATTTGATCAGAAACTTTCTACAGCATATGCCTCACCCTTAAAGGCGTAAGCCTAGCTATGTCGTCAAACTGAGTTACAGCTTTGGTCGCAAATGGCCCATAAATCTACGAGGCGCGCCTCAAGGCGGAATCCTATTGTGCGGTTTCAAACATTGAATTAAAATGTTGTTTTTTCAGCTGAATTTGTCAGAAAAAATAATCTCTTATTGCGCTGAAACTGGGTAAACAGGATCTGTTGAAAAAAGCCGACTTCTTAAGATATACGAAGTATAACACGAATAGACGAAACACCTCAACCAAGCAGGGCTTAGGTTTCTTCACAAAGCTCTGAGGCTCAAGCCTCAGAACTATTTTGCGACATCCTGCAGTTACGCATGCCTTGAAGCGTATGCCTCAGCCACTTATTTAAGCCATACTAGCAAAATTAGAAGCGAAATACACGAACAGTAGGCTTTATGCAATTCTATAGTGGAATCATGTATGTTAACCTCACACGATAGTGTCCTCCAGCTGCAAAAAGATCATTTAGTGTTGATGTAGCATATCTTGAAAACCATCATCTAATAATATGCTGCAATTGGTGTCTTTGCTTTCTCTATCCAAAATCAGCCACCGTGTTTTAATGTTTTTTTCTTCCCTAAAATAAAGGCTGCATAAGAATTTGTATGGATGTCTTCGTAGTTCGTACTAATGCATACGAATGAATTGATGGTAGTTTGTTAAGGCTGACTTGATCTTTCCTCTCTCTCTCTCTCTCTCTCTCTCTCTCTCTCCTCTCTCTCTCTCTCTCTCTCTCTCTCTCCTCTCTCTCTCTCCTCTCTTCTCTGTGTGTGTACATGTGTACTTTAGTTTGAAAGGCGCGAGGTGGCATGTGATGTTTTTTAAATTTACCGTAGGCGCACCTGATGCACGCTTGTTAAAACTAAGGTGTGTGTGTACCTTAGTTTTAAAAGGCACGAGGCGGCCTGAGACGTTTTATTTTAAAATTTACTCTAGGCGCTCCTGTAGTACGGTTTTTAAAACTAAGGTGTGTATATACATGTAATTAAAAGACTTAGGTTGAAGGTAGATCTTGTCTTGAAGGGGCAAGGGATGTAAGCCACTCTCTCTTCTCTTTCGATGGTGTTTTAGAGATAATTCATTCTTTAAATTTCAGGTAAAAGGCATGTTGACTGATTTTGGAGATGATATGCACTGCCAGTTCCTTGAAATTCTTCGCAGTCTTTTGGATTCATATACATCGGGATCACAGGTCATTCAATGCTACAACAAACATGCCTACATTTTTCCCATTCAATTTTTTCTGCTGTGATTCAATGGCTACATTTATACTTGTTTGTTCTATCTTGGAGTATGATTAACTTTTTTCCTGCAATTTATCAGTATAGGTGAACTAACATCCCTTAGTTGTCAACGCATGACAAGTTCCTCTGTAGTTGTATTTCTTTCCTCCGTAATTGAGTGGCTTGAGTGAAGAAAATTAATTAAGTCTAGGCATTTTCACTTAACGCTAGAGAAATTTGTGCATCATGGTGTGTCACTCTGGTCTTGTTTCAAGCTATAACTTAATTGTGCATATATGGATTTCTCGCAGAGAGATAATATTGTTGACATATTCTATGAGAAGCATGTTGGACAACTAATTGATGCCATAACGTCTTCTTGTCCTCCAAACAACAATTCGCAAATTGCTATCAATTCTTTGAGCTATTGTGAAGGAGCTGAGAAGCAGAGCAGTGTAAAGCCTGAAATTCTACTCAACATTTGTGATCTTCTGTGCTTCTGTATCGTGCACCATCCTTATAGAATAAAGTATATTGTTTTCTTGTCTCGCAATTATTATCCACTTGGAAGAGCTCACATCTGTTTATTAATGTATTTATCTTGTGTGTTTGTTATCTGCTGCAGGTGTAGCTTTCTTCTTAACAACGTGATAGAGAAAGTACTGTTGTTGACTGGGAGAAGAGAAAAATATCTTGTAGTATCTGCAGTTAGATTTATGCGAACTCTCATATCTCGGAATGTAAGTTATATATCTTCTCCATTCAATAAAGGTCCAGAATTGTCCAAAGTTTGTAACTGCTTGTTGAAGATTTTGCTTATACACATATAACCTATTCACAAACTGTTAATTGTCCACCACAAACTTGAGGAAGAAAAGTTCTGAAGTATTTTTTATGGTTCTATAATTTCTTCCATCAATTAGGTGGTCTGGTTTTTGTTTTTATCGATGCTTTTAGTTTACCATTAATTTTGTATTGCTGAACATGTCTTACAGTTGCAAGTTTGCAACAGATTATTTTTAATGACATGTCGTATACTCCTATTGTCATTATATTCAGGGAATTCTGTAGTATCTATGTGTAGCATTGATTTCTTATTTGGTATAATAATTAGAGCCTCTGGTTTGGATGAAATGACTGAAGTTGTTGCTATAATTGTGGCTGAAGTAGCTGAACATGCCAAGTTAATAGAAAAAATTAAAACTACATTATCGTAGTAACTAAGAAATTAAATATGGGGAAAAAGGTAACTTTGCCATTTTCATTTATTTGTCAACTTCATGAAAAAGTATGAGCTACTGCCTACTCGATTTTAATCAACCAATTCAGTGTATGTAGCTAAAATATGACACCATAGTGTAGACATATTAGAACACATAGTTTTATGTGAAATGACATTCGTAGAATGTTTTTTCTGTGTATGATAGCAGTCCTACTATTTGGGGTAGATATGTCATTGCAAGATACATAGTATTATTTTGAAATGCAGCAACAGCCCTTGCTGTATCAATGTCATATATATTCAGTTCTGATCCAAAACCATTTTTGTTGTGATATCTCTTATGCTGATATGACATACAGTTGGCTGATTCAAATAACTGATGGTGCAGGATGAGCATGTAATGAATCACATAGTGAGGAACAATCTTTTGAAACCAGTTGTTGATGCTTTCGTTGCCAATGGCTGTCGGTATAATCTTTTGAATTCTGCTGTTCTTGAACTATTTGAATACATCCGTAAGGTACTCATCCCTTTTTATTCCCACTGCCCGTATGTGGAGTTTATTAATGTGTGGGTTGAGAGCAGTTTCTTGTTCCTTCCATGATCTCATTTGATTTATACTTGTATGCAGCCAGAAACTTTAAAAATGTTACTTAAATATTTGGTGGATACATTTTGGGACCAGCTAGTCAAATTTGACAACTTTTCATCTATTCAATCTTTAAAATTAAAATATGACCAGGTATTCTCTTGTCATAGTATGGGACTGTTCTGTTTCTTAAAAGTGTACTCCCTGCATTTCTGAATAAGAGTCGAACCTCACCTTTGCAAATACTGGTTTCAAGGGAAAAATAATGAGTTCTTAGTTTTGCTCATCTATCATTTTAGAAGTTACTTCTCAATTGCGATAATAAAGTTGGGTGGGGATGGATAAATATTGATTAAAATCAATTAATGCTTTATGAAATTCCAAATACAGTAATACTTATCTAGAAAACAAACAAGAAAATCACAATTCGACACTTATTCAGAAACAGAAAGGCCTTACCTGGTGACCTCTGCTTTGTTTAACTTAAATTTGACTTTTTCAGGTTCATGATACCTCAGGAGGACGAACTGTTTCTAATGTGATTAACTCTCGGAAAAGAGGTGATGAACGTGCTTTGGAGAAAGAAGAGGAAGACTATTTTAATCAGGACAGGTATGCATCTTAATTATCTAGCACTCTACTTATTATTTAGGGTTAATTACATCTAAGAAATTGTTCTAAATAGGACTAAAACATAGACAAAGTTCATATTAATAATAATAATAATAGTAAACACTCAATCAGAACATAAATATTCAAATCAGATTAGAATGATTCAGATAAGGATTCAGATCAGATAGATCTTAAAAAATTCAGATCAGGCGAATAGAATGGCTTGTAACAATGTTCTATTCCCAAAATAAGACTTCTTTGGTATTATTACGTATAAAACTCCCCTAGTTAGGAGTGAATGATTGATATTATAGGAGGAAAACAATGGTGGTCCTATTTGTGCACTTTATCTATGTTTTTTTTGGCAAACACTATATCTATGTTTTAGTCCTATTTAAGGAAATGTCTCTTACATCTACCTGTTCAAGATTTGATCAAATAACCAAATGATCTCTGAGATCCTCTAAAGCTAGCACACACCCCATGAGAAGTCAAATACTCTGCAACTCACAACAAAAGATGATATAATAGCATGATACCACTAGGATTTAGTGACGTTAGACTAAACTATACTAATACACACAGAAGTTGACCCGAAGCACTTAATGCCTACCAATGTTTCAATGTTAGTTTTTTCTTTCATGGAAAATGTGAATGCTCAGAGGGTCTTTTGTATATTATTCAAATTTAAGGGATCATTTTGCAATTTGATCATACTTCTGATGAAAAATATATATGACCTGCCCTGTTATTTCAATATAATTTTCGCTGATTTGGGTATTGGCTCAGTGATGATGAAGATTCTGCATCGGTTTCTGTGTCAAATGCTAAACAACGAACCCAACCTCGGCGAGTCTTGGCTAATAATGGTTCTGCCCTCAGCCATACAGCAGTTAGGTAATGTTTGCTACTGGAATGGATCCATGTCTGCCTTGTATTTTTGGTATAAGAAAAAATCTATAATCTTTTTTTCACTATACAAGGTCTGGGGGGCTTGTTGATTATGATGATGATGAGGATGATGAAGATTACAGACCACCCCCTAAGAAACAATCAGGTCCATCTAATGAAGATGGAGGAGTAGAGTCTTTCCCGTTGAAACGGAAACTTTGCTCCAAGGAAGAGCCCATCTCAAAAAGGGTTCACCGGGCAGCATCTAAAACATCAAAGTCACGTAATAGTGTCTTTGCTGCATTGTGCTCAACATTAAGCCAAGCAGTTTTGCCAACTAATAACAAGACAGCAAATATTGCTTCAGGGGGTGATTTAGCCTCCACATCAGACGCAAAGGAGTCAACTACTGAAGCTAGCCGTGAGAAAAGTTGTGGGGACTCTGATTGTAATGGAAGCTCCGAAACTAAGAGTAGTGTCGATAAGGATGCGGTTTCTTCTCCTGCAGCCTTTTCCCAAGGTTTATCATCCAATTCTCCTGATAATAATAACAGGCAGTTTCGAGAGATGCAACCAAAGTCTTCTCCTGAAATGGCTGTGAACGGATCGTGATTTCATGCTCTTTGAGAATAATCACATTTCTCCTTTCACATCTCTGGATTAGTTGCAAAGTGGAATGAAGGAATACTTACCTTCAGAAGATGATGATTGCCATCGTTACCAGAAAGAGGTCACAATGTACAGTGCCATTGTAAGCACAGGGAGATTATCTCTGCCATGCTTTAAAGCTTCAGCGCGAATCATTTACTCCTGAAGCCATTCCATAGGGGCATAGTTTTTTCTTTATTTAATCAAATCTCATTTTCGTTCTCCATTTTATTTTCTTCATTATGTATGTGAATGTCTTAAGTGACTGACTTACTGGTGGCAAGCTTCACCCTGCAGGGTTTTATATTTGACGATATGAAATTTTGAAATAGCGGGTGTTTGAAGGATGTGCTTGTTTTATGTCCTAGGCTTCTCTTCACTTGTTATGTAATTTTAACCCGAAAGAAAATTGTACATTATGGTTCCCAGGAGACAACAAATGTGTGGATATTATATCAATCATATTTGATCTGAATGTGATATTTACTAGCTGTTTGTGCGGTCATGACCATTGGATTTTTCTCAATGCTGATTAGAATTTCTAGTTCACCCATGGAGTTTCATCCATGGAATTCATATGATAAAATTTGCATTGTGACTTGTGAGTAAATGTGTGAAGTGAATGTAAAAGAGCAGGAGTCTATTTATGTTGGGCAAACGCGTTAGTGTTACTCTCAATGGTTTGTCTCTGACTCCAAGTGCATGGTGCCTTTAAAGTTTAAAGAAGACAGTAAAGATGACATAAATACTCTATATATACATCTATGGTTAAACAGAGACCAGAGTGGCAGAGTACCAGACTGAAAACAATTGATAGAATAATTTACAATTATTTTTCGTTTGATATTTTATACATCATCCCAAAACAAGTTCTCTTTCCTTTTCGAAAGTGCCTTATTTCTTTCTTAAAGACATGGTTTCTCATCGATCTGTGTTAATCTAGTGGTGTATAGTTTTAAAGCAGTCTTAACTCATAACTATCCCGAGTCCGTGTGCGTTGAATTTGATTTAAACAAAAAATCACTCTTAGATAGTCAGATGAAAAAATAAGACATTCTTTGAAATTGCGATAATGTAGGTTATGGACAAACATGATTTTTGCGTGTTCCCTGTAGGCATGGACCGGTCCTGGGTCGGGCCGCGGGTTTCATTTTTTTTTGCTTTTCTAATCAACCCCCGACCAAGTTGGTCGGACCAACCCCCCAAAACACAGGCCTACCCGGACCGGTCTCTGGCCGGGCCTACCCGGACCGGTCTCTCGCCGGGCCAGGCCGGTTCCAAACAGTGCTGGGCCAGGCCGATTGCAAACAGTGCCAGGCCAGGCCAGGCCACAGGCCGGTCGGCCCAGAACCGGTCCATGACTAGTTCCCTGTCCCTGTCTCACCACCCAAGCCTGGAATTCCTGAGTAAAGTTAGGTTTGATTTATACACTGGAAAATCAAGGATCCAGTTGTGAAATCATAACTACTCCAGTCCTGTTTTGGAGGAACAGGAACCGAGGTTGGGCTGATTCCAATATCAGCTTTGTTTTCCATATGAACGGGAATGACTGCATGAGAACATACTGTATAATTCGACATGTACTCACATATTGAAGCACTATAGAGATATGAAGCACAACGCAAGGAACAAACTACTTTTAATTAATGAATTGACATTTTCCGATCTCCTATACAATTAACTGCTGGATTCTTTTATCCAGATCCATTCTACTCCCAGTCTCCCACTAACCTGTGTATAAAATTCAGTAAAACCCATCTGACCCCGCCCCACCCTTGCTTTTTAAAAATCACAAGCATACGCTTTCCTACAAAATTGAATCCACCGACGTAGGTAGGCTGCTACAAAGACGAAAGTGTTTTGGTGAGAAAGTTAGAGAGTTGTCTGACTTTCTTGGAAAGCTCGACGCTTCTTCCAAAGTAAGATTCAGCATTCGAGAGCATCACTTCCACATCGTGCTTCACCGCCTCTACACGTCGGTAGTAGTTGTTCTTTAGTCGGGAATGGATTATTTCAAGAGTCAGTGGCGCTGGAAACCTGTGACGGCAAAAAATGCAATAATTAAAAAAGAACATTGCACAACTGATACTGTAATAAGAATGGAGCACACCTGTTGATGAATTGGGACCTATGAGAAACTTGTTTCAATTTCTGTACCCCATAATTGTCCTGGTACCATAATTACAAAAATGATGATACAACAAGGCATGTAATGTAAGTGTATGTAAATATTAAAAATTACAAGGACATGTGAAGAAATTCCACTTATGGTCCTTCGAGTTTTGCACCAATTCCACAATTAGTCCTCGCCTTTCACTTTATCCATTTTTGGTACCTGACTATTGTTTTCTTGACCATATATAGTCCTTTTCCGGTAGTAAAAATGCCCAGAGATGGACCGAAAATGGTCAAGAAAACAATAGTCAGGTACCAAAAATGGATAAAGTGAAAGACGAGGACTAAATATGGAAATGGCACAAAACTTGGAGGACCTAAAGTAGAATTAATTCAGGACATGTAAATATAGCTTTTTGAAAGTAAAATTAAATATACAAACTATTTACGTTATAATTAAACTGAATATTTCATTAAAAAGGCAAAATGGTAACTAATATTTAATTTATTAATCATTTTTTTGTTTACTGTTTTATTTTCAAATGTGCATTTACAGGGAGTTATTATATGATTAAAAAAAGTGATTCATATTTGCATGTCCATGCAGGATAATAAGTATCCAGATCAAGGACAATTATTTTCTGAAACTTTTGAGGAATTTCACGAATGCCCAGAACATTATGAAAGTGCTTATATACCTGAACTTTGTTTCCGGTTCGTTCCAGTTTGTCCATGGTGTCCAACAGCCTGGCTATGATCTTCTCATCTATCTGAGGCTGTTTCCGCTCGGTATCAGAGTCAAACAGTTCCCAAGGACTATGCCGATGTTGTTCAGAGGGATCACCCTTCTTGTATCTGACAATGTACCTTTCCCAAGGACTTTCCGGATACTCAAGGGATTTAGCTTGCACGTTAACAATCCTACCTTCCCACCAATCCCCATCTTCATCGCCCTCATTTTTCCACCAGACACGACATTTATCCCTGGAAGTCCACTTCCTTTCCATAGCCGCATCATATTTACTTCGCTCCACAAGAAAGTCAGGGAAACCAGTCACTTCAGGTAGTGTTAGCTGAAATTGTTTACCTGCCACTGCGGATTTAGGATCAATGAATTTAAGTTTCATTTTAGAGCAACTCTCTCCTGATCCTGGACGGGAAGCATACTCAAGCTCCTCAACCCTGCAAAATTCAACTGCACTTATATTCCCTGTGATTGTTTCCCAGGGGCCTGAATCTCTTAGGTCACATTCACTTATGTACTCCTCATGGCCCTGAAAAAAAACAATGGTTATTCTCTTTTAACACCCCTGAGATTTGGCCAAATCAGGAAATGGTCTCTGAAGTTCATGTAAAAAAACAAATAGATCCTTTGAACAACTATCTTGTATGTGAATGACACCCTTAAGGCTAAAACATGATAGAATATTGTAATATTAGCAGATAATAAGTGTTTTAGACTGAACCTTGCATTTCTATTGCATCATATTGATTAGAATGTTAAAGTTTTTTAATGGAAAAACATAGCAGGGTCAAATGTTAAGAGCAAAATAGTCCAAAACACTTGAAGCCTATTTTTTTATCATTATTCTATCAAATTCGATTGAATGTTTACATGCCAAGGGGTGTATTTGTAATTTTCAAGTGTCAGGGTCATTTGGTAATTTGACCAAATCTCAGGGAGGTAGATTTAATTAAGCCAAAAAACAATTATGTCATAATGTCTTCTAAGTGGATAAGAAGAGTAAATAGCGCGTCAAAGATCACCACAATGAACCAAAAAGAATAAAATACCTGTCTAAGATAAACGACTTCATCCCCAAGCTGGGGGATATATCGGTGCTCCTCCTGTGCTACTAATGTCAACCACGATCTTTTTGCTGATGGGTTTGACCTCCTTCTATCTGGGGGTGGGCTTGGTTCGCGCATGTAAAAACTGGTTCTCCTTACCCGTGCGGATCTCACTCCAACAACAGTTTTTGAATTATTGTCAGATCGTGCTTCATCATGTCCTCTATTATTACCACATAAATCTATTGATAGGGGTACTGAGTAATCACCGGGTTTGCTAAATCTGAGGTTTACAGCATTGCTTGTGGACCTCAACATGTTAGATCTTGCTCTGCGGACCCTATTACCTGTACTATTATTATTATTATTATTATTATTATTATTATTTTCACCATTATTTTTATTATCATCACTTCCTTCGGCAGTAAAGAGGTTGTGTGCTGTTGATGTACTGGCTTCCATACTTCCAACAACAACACATCCTAGGTTGTTACTTCTACTTCCCCTGCCAAATCTTGACCTCCTATAGACAGCACGGAACATCCTATCCTCTGACTGCAACTGCTTTGAATCCTCCCGAACAGTATGTCTAGCAGCTCCACCACCATCAGTATCTGGCCCTGCCTGTTTATCATTACACTGTACGTCTGAACTTAATATCTTCCCAGTCTCTTCAGGGACAGATGTACTCAGCCCTAAATTCTCTAATGCAGATTTCTCCATTGTTTCATTAATTTCAAGGTTAGTGCAGAGAGGAGGCTTTGACCTTATCCTCAGCCTGGTAGGAATGACTGTATCTCTTTCTTCAAGTGAATGGTCATTATCAGCTACTTCATGAGAGCATGATGGAATTTCTTCAGGATTCTTGCAATCTTCAATACCAGTAAGAGACAAAGGATAAATTCTTCCACAATCCTTTTCCATTGCAGAATTCTCATCAATTAGATCTTCTGTCCTTGAATTTCCAGCATATGGATCTGAAGGTGGTGGCAGATCTGCTGTCCTTGAATGTTTGTACGTACGAGATCTAACACCTCCCCATCTCATAGTCCCACCGTTACACTCGTCAAGAAGATAGGAATGATGTGACCACACTGGAGGTCCTACCTCACTTGTTCCTGTTACATCATCATTATCTGTAACCCGGGTTGAGTTAGCCTGAGTTTTTCGTTCATTTGCATCGTCAGTCTCTTTAGAAGGTGTAAATGATGGACCAGCTGGTTCCAACATAGCAGGGAGTGCAACTCTACTTGAATCTCGATTCAAAAATCTGAGGACCAATCTCCTTTTGTTTCCGTTACTCAAATGAGATTTACCGATATCCTCAGATTGATCCAGACATACTTCTTTCCCCTTTGAATGCCCGTGATGATGTGCATCGGGAAATGAATTTTCTGACTCGCTTTCAGTATATGAATCCTGCAATGAAGACTTACTTCCGGATGAATTGCCTCCGGAGAAATCCTCATCTTCTCTTTCCATGGACGCTCCTGTGATTCGAGAAAACAAATGAAGGGCATTGCGTGCAGCGGCTCTCCTTGGTCTCATCAAAGATTTTGAAGACTTCTTCTTTGATGTTTTCCGAGCGTTTCTAGATTTT